TGGGTTTTGAAGAGGGCATTGAGGGCCTTAATATGGTATATTGGTCCGTGGAAAAAGGTGGTCGGAGGACGAAATTATGGTGGTCCAAAGTTGGCATTTCCAAACTGTCCAAAATCCGGATAGCTCACTTTTGCGTGATGTTTCGGCCAATTCCGATGGGATCACGGCCAGTGGCTGGGTAGGTTGTTAAAAGGGTATTGAGGGCTTCAATATAGTATATTGATCCGTGGAAAAATGTGGTCGGATGATGGAGTTATGGTGGTCCAAAGTTGGCACCTCCAAGCTGTCCAAAATTCGGCTGTGCTCGCTTTGGTCCTTTATGTTTGAATTAAAGGCATAACGGTCCTCCAGTGACCGTTTGTGCAAGCGCATGAAACTTCAGTGACCGTTTCTGCAAGTTTTGCACTTCAGNAATTAAAGGCATAACGGTCCTCCAGTGACCGTTTGTGAAAGTGCATGAAATTTCAGTGACCGTTTCTGTAAGTTTTGAATTTCAGTGACCGTTTCATTATTTTTGCTTAAGTTCAGTGACCGTTTGTGAATTTAACCCGTTTTCATAGACAAAAGTATTTTATTTATTTTTAAAATTACTTTTTATTTATAAAACTAACTTTCTAAGGTAACCCTAAACTTTATGTTTTTCAATTTTTAAATAACTAACACTTTTTTTTCTTTTTAAGTCCTTGTTTGGTACCCATTATTTTCAAAATACATTTTTTATCTCTTATTTTCAACCACACATTTTTCAATAAATTAATATTACACGTCAATTTAAAAAAATTCCTTATTTTTTAACTACACATTCTCCATCAAAATAGTATTTCAAAATGCATTTTCATAAAAAAATTGGTCTCAAACAGGAATTAATGAGTTTCTTGATGAGAATAGGGTTAAATGAATCTGTCGTACCATTTTTTATCGAAAATATTACTAAAACTAATTTATTAAGAATTACAATAAATCATGTTTACGTTGTTGAAGGAACTTAGCCACCCTTAATATTACCCTTTTTATATATTCAAAAAAAATTTGTTCGTCCCGTGAAATTTTTGTGTTTTATCTCGATAATCTAAGCATAATTGATCTAATGACGTTGCTTTTAAATCAAAAAAATTATTCTATGAAGGTTATTCTATCACACAAAATTCATGTAACTTACACGTTACATGCATTACATTCTACAGAGTAAAATATTTTATGAAGTGAATATTCATCTTTATACAAAGAGTCTTTTATTTAGATTAGATAGACGGATCAATTCGACTCACTTACCTGCTGAGGAGTTGAGTTGACATGAAATCTTAAGTATATGTTTTATACTTTAAAATCTTCAAATTTTGGGAATTTGCTTTTTAAGAAATGAATATGACACGTTTGGTACATTAAACTATACACAATTGAATGGGTGACGGATAACAAATTTGTTGCGAGAATATCATTATTATTACCACCCAAGTTTATTCAATGAAACATAAAAAAGTTTTTCTCTCTCGAGAAAAGATAAAGCGGTATAATTTCTTCTCTCTCAAGAAACAATTAAAAGACCATTTATCAAATGTTTTAGCTAATCAAATTCATGTACATGATTAATCACTTCAAAACAAACAATAATATTTGGCATATTATAATTAGGAACCCTTTTTGTTTTTCATAAAACAAGGATTAATGGAATCCCCTTTATTAAGAAATCATTTTAGTACTAATCAAAAAATAAAAGTATATATCCACTAGAGAAAGGGCTCCAATCACTAAGTTAAACTTGGACATACTGAATAAAATTAATTGGAGAACCCTGTTATTTAATTTAATAATTATTATTCATTTGAATGATTATAATTTAATGCATTGACAACTAAGCTAAAAAGGTCACCCTTTCATATAGATTTCAACTTTCTCCCACATGACCATTCCTCCATGTCCGTCTTTTCCTCATAATATTAGTCAGAATCACTTGCAATGCACGTGTCATGATATAGTTGAGTATGTAATAGTGTAGATATTAAAAGTAAATATCTATGTTAAACATTAGTTACATAAACTTTTCTTATAAGTTGCTAAATGTTT